TAGGTGCTCATAGTATGCTTTATTTACATGTGGTGGGGGATCCTATCATCTGACTATAGGGCAATGCCTAATTATCATATAGAAAAATATTGCAGGTAACTATGCCAAAGGTCATGTTCTGAATAAGGTCAGGCATCCATGCTTGGAGGCACTTCTCCAGGTAAGTCAGGCAGGAAGCCCCTGCTGAGAAAGGAGCTGACCTTAACAGCAGGGTTCCCCAACAGTGATACAGGTGTCCCATTTAGGGCCAAGCACTCCAAGTCCTTTATTTGCTGAATGTTGACCATTTTTTTCTGTATTAATTGCCATCTGCTGCAAAATGAAGCTTCTCTGGTGACAGTTGAGAGATATACTAATCTATGGATATAACAATGTCATTAGGAGTTGGTCTAATACTATGTCCATTTAGTAGAATAATAGTAGTAGGTTCTCCCCTTATAGCTTGTGACCTGTCTAGCCACAGGTTCTTGGCATCAATAACATTGCCAGGTATGAGCTCCATCTTGTGAAGTGGGCCTTAAATCCATCAGAAAGTGGTTGGTTACTCCCATAACATTCATGACACCATTGCTCCAACACATACCTTGCCAGGACAGTTGTAATAACTTGTAGGGGGTCACAGCTGGGTAAAGTTGATGATTACTTTTCTCTTCTGGTAGCATGCATAGCATCTTTCAGCATGATGAAACTAGCCAGTAACAAAACTTCTGGGTCGGTACCTGTTTGGTTTCTCCATGTTTGTTCTATGACTCATGATATAGTGTGATCTGATATACTATCAAGTTCTGGAGGGTAACAAAGGGAAATGGCAATAGCTAATATTGCTTGAGAATCTATGGAAGGGCACTTCCTGGTTAACAACTTTAAAAGAGGGAGATCATTTCTGGAACTGGGCTTTTTACTTGCTCGCTCCAAGTGTTGCCCAATTGGGGCACTGTTCCCCACGTGCCCCATTATAGGGTGTGTTGGATAGCTTTAGTTGTCAACTTGACACATCTGGATTGAGGGAGCCTCGATTGGGAATTTCCTCCATTGGACTGGCCTGTGGCAATGTCTGTGAGATATTTTCTTGATTGTTGAGTGATATGGGAGGGCCCAGCCAATGGTGGGCAATGCCACCCCTGGGCTGGTAGTCTTGTATTGTATAAGAAAGCAGGCTGAGCACAAGCTGGGAGAGCAAGCCAGTAAGCAGCATTCCTTCACGGCCTGTGCTTCAGCTCTTGTCTCCAGGTTCCTGCCCTGAGTTCCCACTGTGGGCTCCCTCAGTGATGAACTGTGACCCGGGAAATGTAAGCCAAATAAACCTTTTTCTCCCCAAGTTGGTTTTGGTCAGAGTGTTTTGCCATAGCAATTGAAAGCAAACTAGAACATAGGGTAACTACATTTGAACTCTTTTTATATTTGTATATGTATATATTTTAAGAAGTTTCTATAGTAGTTGGCTTCCATATAACTTTTTCAAAAAGCTTATAGTGTTATTCCTTTCCTTACTCTGTCCTCTACCTTTTCCTCCCATTCTCCACCCCATTTAGCCCTTCTTATTCCATTATTCCCCTTTCCCTCTTTGTATCAATGTGTTCTATCATTCCTTCCAGGAAGTCCCACCCCATAGCTCCTAAATAGTTTCCTGACTTCTATGGATTTTCCATCTGAAACACACATATCTAAAGATTCAAAGCTACTGCCAGATCTTAGAAAGAACATTCAGTGCTTGTCTTTCCATTTCTGGGTTACCTCACTTAGGATGATTGCTTCCATCCCCATCCATTTACCTTCAATTTTTATAGTTTCATTTTTCTTAACAGCTGAATAATATTCCATTGTGTAAATGCCCTGATTTCATCATCCATTCATCACTTGATGGACATCTAGGTTGCTTCCATTTCCTGGCTATTGTAAATAGAGTAGCAATGACCATGGATGAGCAAATATTTCTGTAGTAGGATACAGAGTCATTTGGGTATAAGCTCAAGAATGGTATAGATGGATCATATGGAGGATCTATTTCTACCTTGCTCTTTTGGTGAAGCTATACCAAGCAAAACTTGATGGTTCTCATGAAGACTTTAGAATTAGTGGAGGTCAAGGTATATTTGGAGGCTGTTGGGACTTGGGTTTGCTTTGCTTAGCGGGGGACCTACTGGCTTTGGGGCAGAGAGACTTGATCAGTGACAGAGTCTTGGATCCTGGGACCTGTGTCTTTTCAACAAGCCATTTATTACTTAATCCAGATGCTTTTTATACAGCCCAAGGAACTAGCAGTCACATGGGATATGGCAGTCACATACAAATATTTAGGGTACAAAGAAACAGGACATTTAGTCTGTTAATTGGCACCAGAAGGATTCTTAAACTTTTACTCAAGGTTATCAATGCCCATCTGGTAATTTATTGGCCACATTTCTTTCTTAGAGTTAAAAGCATGGTGAACTTTTAGCTTTTAGCTAAGAAGTAAACTTTTAACTTGGCCTAATCTCTTAGCCAAGGATAGCTGAGTTATTTGTTCAGGACAAGGAGATGAGCTAAGGGTTGTTGACCAAGATGCTTTCCCACAGAGCAGGGAGCCTGCACTTTTGACTAGGCTGCTTTCTCCTGCCAGTCTGGCAGTGTTCTGCAAGACGGGGACTATCAGAGCCACCGTTTTCAGTGCCCATCCTTTTAGCAGAGAATGAAGCCTGGACTTAAAAGTTTTAGGCTTACCTCACCCTAGGGCCTGGCATCCTGGTTTCAAAGGGGGCCACTGGAGTCCAGGAGCTGATTATGGGTGGGGTCAGCTTATTTGAAAAGTTTTGGATTGGGTTATCAGAAATGATCCGTGGAATATAGCTTATGGTAGTAAGTGCTAAGAGGACTCAAAGAAGTAGAGGGGTAGTTTGCAGAGGGGACAGGGGGCAGTCCACAGAGGGTGCATTTTAGTGCTGTGTAGAGGATGGCGAACAGGCAGGGTCTACCCAGTGCAACTGTCTGTGGGGGATACCACTCTGTTGCTGGTTCTTTGTGTGCTCACCCAAAAGTTAGATGATTGTGTAGCATGATCTTTCTGATTCATCTCATTTTGATTGCAAAAGCTTATGATTCCAACTCCCCCATTGTTGCTATTTATCTCCTAAATGAATGGTTATGAAATCATCCATGAGCATGTAAAATTTGATTTTTCATAATTATGATACACTTAGGCATGATCAATGGATCAGTGACCACTGCAAATGTCAGATTAGCTGGGATCATGAATGGTCACTGTCTCCATCATCCTTAGTTTTTAGATCTTGGACCACAGACATTTAAAAATTGAATCAAACCATGAATTACCTTATAGTCTTTCAAACATTTAAAAAAGAACATAGCATGACTTTTTGAGGGAGATTAGAAATACTTGATTTTTGGAGACTATAAAGGGAATTCACTTTTATAATTCAAGTAAAAAGAGTTTTACTGTTATAAAAGAAGAAAGGCAAGCTTTGCCCAGTGAAAACTGCAGGCACATTGTCTACAGTCTTATTAATGTTGCATACATGCCCAGATTATATTGTGTTTAGAAAAGGGAGTTGTTATATGCCTGATGACTAAATTTTTAGGTAGCTCCTGGGAAATTAACCAAAGGTATTTGATGGGTGTTAAATGGAGAAAAAATTACTATGTAACCTCACTGTACCAGTGTACACAGCAGAGATGCCACACTGCTGGGTTATCTGCACAGTGCCAGTTCAAACTCTGTAAATGCTACACTACTAGGTTATTTGACACACGGTTAATGATTGGCATGCTTTCCTCAGAAAGTGGAAAGATTAAGGAAAACAAATAAGACTTATTTTGCTCCTAGTTATAGGAAATACTTTTCTGTATTGTGCAAAACAATGGTTTGGGAAATCAGCCCTCTCACAATGTGTATTATCTTGATATTCTTTTTAAAAATATTTTATTTTTAAATTTTATTTTATGTGTATGACTGCATTGCCTGCATGTATGTAAGTACACTGTGTCGTGGAATGCCCGAGGAGGTCAGAATAGGGTGTTGGATCCCCTGGATTAGGATGGGTTGTTAACTATCATATGGATGCTTGGAATTGAACTTGGGTCCTATGCAAGAGAAGCTGGTGCTCTTAACCACTGAGCCATCTCTCCAGCCTGATATTCTTTTAAAATACACTGATTTTTTATAACTTGCGTAAATGATGACCGTTGTTCTTGAGACAGGTTTTCATAAAAAGAAGAAAAAGACTGGTGTGATGGCTCAGCTAGCCTGTTGAGGCCAAGTCTGATGACCTGACTTTGACCCCTGGGATCCCCACCATGGAAGGAGAAAATCAACTGCTGCAAGTGTTCTCTTTCTCATTCACACTGTGGGGTGTGTCCCCCAACAAATAACTAAACGCAAAAAACAAAAAGAGGAAAAGAACCACAATTGTATGTGTACCCGACTAATTTGTAAGGCTGACAATTTTGCTAAGAGGTCTTTTTAAAAAAGAAGTACAATTTTTTTTTTTCCTGGTGGTCCTAGGATGGAACCTGGGACCTTGCGCATGCTAGCAAATGTTCTATCACTGAATTACCTCCCTAATCTTTGATTTTTGGAGGAAGTGTCTCAATATGCAGCTTAGCTGGCCTTGAACTTGACATCTTTCTGCCTCACCCTCTCAAATGTGATGAAAGCACATTTGACCCGTTCCCCACCTCTGCCCTTTGGCATTCCATCATGGGAGAATGCAGTAAGAAAGCCCTTGCCAGTGTGGGCCCTCTGACTTTGGATTGCCTAGCCTTCAGATCTTAAGAAATATATTTGATTCTTTATAAACTATCCAAGTGTTCTGTTAGAGTAGAATAAAACAGACCAAGACAACTGTTGAGAATAAGCCAGTTTTCTTTCACCATTTGTCCAGTGTTCATCTCATTCTGTTTGCTTTTATTATTCACTTTTTATTTATTCACTTGTGTTGAAATGCTCTTCTCATTTATGGCTCTCTTTTCATGAGCTTTGCCTCTGAGAGACCAGACAACTGTAGGCCAGTGGTGGATCTCCATTTATTTTGCCTAAGTGCAGGTGAATATGTGATTATTTCATGGGTTTCTACAAGAATAATCACACGGTGAAAATGAAAACGTTCTGTTCAAAGTTTGATTGCATTTTGATGAGATAGCACAGGACCTACAGGAAGTGTTCACCAGCTCAGGACTAGAAGAAAGGCATTAAATATTCTTTAACATGAGGTTCAAATGGATAAAAACATTTAGTCAGAAATTCTGTAGCAGCCCCCCAGCTTTGCTCTCAGATCTCTGTGCGGAAAGTCATGGTGCTCCCTGCCATCTTCTTCTCGTAGTCCTTGTCAAAATCTTCACTTTGGGCCACAGTAAAATAGTTCTTCCAGTCCCCAGGCATCCCTAAGGCAAGGTAAAATCTCAGGGATTGCTTCAGGCACAGAGAGAGGAGCATGCATCCTAAAACCAGCACAAAATGGGCACCTACACAAGCCTCTCTCCGAACCTGTTCAGATGTACTGCTGGCGAAATAAACCAGGCTACATAGGATGTCAGTGGAAGATACAAGCAGACTATGGGACTCCCGAGACCTACCTTTTCTCATGAAAGGGGAGATGGAGTGGTCCATAATGCTGGTGGGGAGAGTGGTATAGTTGGCCATTGGGTTTTGCTTCATTACATCAAAAGAGGTGTGATAGACGATTTTGTTTAGAACTACTTCTGTTATGTCTTTTTCCAGGAATTTCACTATCTTCTCTATTTCCCTCTTTGGGTCCTGTATGTGGAACAGTTATACAAAATAAATAATTTTTGTCTTTGGGATGCTGTTCTGCATGAACAATGTTTAGAGAGGGATGTGTTAAGAGATCAGTTAAAATATATCCAACAAATAGTTGTCAAATGATATTAGTGTAGGTGCTACCTGCCCTCAAGAAGATTGCCTTGTAGGAGGGGAATCAAATGCTTTCAGAGAGAGAGAGAGAGAGAGAGAGAGAGAGAGAGAGAGAGAGAGAGAGAGAATGGAGCCCAGGTGGAGAGCTATGGCATATCCTAGGTGTGGGTTGGAGTCAGAGAAGGTTGTATTAAGGTCATATGAAGCAGAGGCTATATTGGTTTGTATGACTAACTCCGGTTTGTGGGCTGTAAGTGCCAGAAAAAAGGGACTGTGAATTAACTGAAGGCTAATAAAAGCATGACCAAAAAGGATCTCAAGTTGCCCCAGAAATGCAAATCCTTGCACCCTGCTTTGTTCTGATAAAAGAGATACAAAAAGAGAAGGAGCTGTAGTTTCTGGTTGGCTCACATTGGACTTCTTGACCTTGGTATAGGAGGTAGATTTGGAAATGAACTACAGGGTTGTGATCTGTGGTCTACTCATTCACAATGAAATGGTGAGGTCAGTGTAATACCCCAATGTATATATCTAATCTTGTCGATGTTCAGATGGACTAGATTTCAGTTAATGAAGGAGGCTGGGGGAATGGAAGAGGGAGAAGAAAGTTAAACTTTTAGAATACAATGCTGCATAGTTTACAAACATAATTGCTTAAATCTTTACACTAATCTTATGAGATAGACACCAAACATTATTGTAGGTAAAGAAAGAAACATGGCTCATGAGTGTCAGAATCTTGTCTTTTTGTTGTTGTGAGCCTGAGCCTTTGATGGTTACACCAGCTCTCCAGCCCACGAGTATCAGAATCTAATAAGTTGATTCAACTATAAAAGTCATTCTGTTTTCTGAGGAGGAAGGATCTTCTGGAAACTAGGAGCTAAAAGAAATAAAACCTAGAAGACCAAACAGGCATTTAGAACTGCTAAGAAAAATCTGAGTTTCAAAGAGTGTTACAGAGATAGGGCATGCCCTCAAATTTCTTCTACAGGAAAGCTCACATTTCAGGGCATCACTGGGATCTTTGATCTGAAGGTGTGGGAGGACATGGTGGAGATCACACAGGCTCTCACCTCCTTCATGTCTTCATAGAAAAGGTAGAGAATGCGGTGCTGATCTTTCATGTCCCACCATCCCTTTACATGGTCATACCAGGAGCCCCAGAGCACTGAGGAAGAGAGAGATGGGACACCAGTGTCACCTTAATTCTTATCAAATGAGAATGGCTGTCTCAAATAAAAGACGTTTAATAAATAAGACCCAAACATAAAGACCCTGAACTGAATTCTTATTTGCAGAAGACAGTTTTTTTAAAAAGAGGATTTAGGGAGATGATAAACTATAGTCTGGTTTCCTTGCTTTTACATCTCCATCATTCATTCTTTGCTGTTGTGAAGGACTGTACTATGGCTGGGATTCAAAATGTTTATTTTTCTTGCAGCACTGCATGGAACATAGATTAATGTTAAGCATAGACATTATTTCCTAACAGTTTGATTTTGAAAAGACTTTCACTTGGGAAAATCTCTAAGTACCAGGGATTTGGGCACCTTTGTTTTCTGTGATGGAAAGTGGGAAGATGTGTGCTGGTCACTTGTTGGCTTTCCCAACCCTACTCAGTGAGTGGATCCCAGGCTTATGGCTGGACTTCGCTCCAAGAGGCACTGGAACGCTTTTGAAGGATAGTGCAGCTGTCTCCCTGGTATACTTCCTATGGTATCACTGTGTTTAACTGCTGCCACCATCAAAGCCATCTGTTCAGTATGGGGTCTTCTGCTAGCTCTAGGGGCTAGTGTGTCCCAGCAACCTCCATTAATCCTCACTGGCTTCCCCCAAACTCTGCTTGTAGTTGTCAATAGTCTCTTTGTCAAAGTCTTCAAAGTATACCATCTACTTCCTTGAAAGGCCTTGAGGGATATAATTGTCCACTGAAAACCTTTTTCGATGTCAGTACATGAGTTAGGAAATAGGAACCCACAGTTTTCTTTTACTCACCTTTTCCAGCTTTGAATGTTTCAATGTATTCTTCCATTGTGCCAGGGTCAGGCAGCATCTTATTCATTCTTGAGAAATGGTAGTAGGACACCAGACAGTCCTTGGCATTTCTAGCCACGTAGATAATCTAGATTTTTCCAGCAAAGGGTGTGAGAGGCAGAGAGAAAACAAGACAGAAAAATGTTATTTGGTACAGAGACTCATGTTTATACAAAGCCTTTTATATAATCATGGACTAGCCCATTGGAGAAACTGAGTGTTCATGTGCTTTCTCCAATCAAGGTGACCACTTCTTCTAATTGCCCACAACTATTCTGACTTATAGCTGTAGTCTTAGCATTATTACTAAGTGTATCCCTTTTCTGTCTTAAAGATATTCTGCATTCTAGTTTGTATCATAAATGTTGCTTTTACTCTAAATTAACTTGTGTAAATAAAGAGGCTACCCATGGTAGCTTAGTTTGTTTGCACTGTTCTAATAAAATGCTGTAGATTGAGAGCCTTATATACAACAGAAAATAATTTCTCACAGTTAAAGAGGCCAGGGACTACAAGGTGAAGGAACCAGCAGATTCAGTGTATGGGGGAAGGCCTGCTTCCTCACAGATAAGGACCATCTTTGATAAGGATCCCAATCCCATTTATGAGATCCCACCCACATAACACGATGACTACCAAAGACCCACCCCCTAATCCCATCACCTTGGGAGTTAAAATTTCAATGCATGAATTTGAAGGACAGAACATTCAGACTGTGGGGCATGATGATTTTCAGCACATGAAAGTCCTCCCTAGCTTATGTTAAACAAGGAGTCTAAATGGGATACAGGATGGGAGGGTCAAAGACTGTGAGTGAGCCAGTCTCTTCTCTGTAAGATAAGTGCCAGCCTCACAGATGAATTGTCTCCTCTGCTTTTCATCCTCTGGGGGCAGTGTTAAGTCCTCCCTCAGAGGGGCGTGGGTGTCTTCCTGTAATGAAGACAATGGTATGGTCTGGTAAAGGAGAATTAACCTTTTGGCTTCATGTTTTGTTGTCTTCAGCCCCCTACCACCTGGCTCCCATTCTATTTGTGTGGCTGTTTACTTTCTGAGCAGGGTTGGAGGAGGAAGATTCTGCTAGAGTTTGATGTGGGTAGCGTTTTCTAAAGGGTCAGATATAAAGACTTGATCCCCAGGGTGGTGCCACCGTCATGAAAGGAAAAGCTTGAACCAAGGTCAGTAAAGTCATTTACTACTCAAATAATCCATAGGTCTAAGTGTATAAAGGGAGGGGCTGTCACAGAGGAAGCCTACAGTATTAAAAGACTGCTTTTATAAAAAGATGTTAGCAAAATAATTAACCAGGTGTAAGTATATCTTCTGCATTAAGTCTACAAGGCTTTGGAAATAATATTGTTACAGTAGCATTGAAGGTCCCTTAAGGGAAAGCTGTTGCCTCCTAGCCAAAAGAATGGATCTACCTCTGGGTGGAGACATGCCAATTTCCCTGGTATCATATGGTAACCAAGAAGGGATTCCCTCAAATTTTTGCTAACAATATTGGCTCTCCAGCAGCAAAAGTAACTTACAATGAATGAAGGTATCTGAATTGTTAGAATCCAGACCAAACTGCTGCTCAAGCCATACCCATCATCGGCCTCTTATAGCTGCTGTAGGCAAGCCCCTACCAAGAGGCTGTCTCTGAATCTCTAACTCCCTAACAGACTCTGAAGCTGCTTAAATTCCAGGAGAATGGCAGACACCACCCCTTCCCCTAAGGAAACTTTACAGGCTCAGACTGCCAGACTCCAGGACATCAGAGAGCTATCAGTGGCAACACATCCCCACCCGTACAATGGGCACACCTTACCTTAATGTGCCCTTCTTCTCCAGTATCCTTGGAGTTCCACATTCCTTCACCTCAAATTATCCCCCCTCCCCCTGCTGCTCAGGAATCAGAGACAGCTGCCTACACGAAATCTCTGAGATCTGTAAGAAGGAATCCTCACTCTGCCACATGAGGGCCCCCACCATACTGTCTGTCTGTCCAGGGTGTTAATGACTCTTCTAATAAACTTTTTATACCAAAGGACCATCCATCTCAGTGTTCCCCTTGAATCCCAGACCCATGGTCTTTCAGCAATGAACCAAGGAGTCTTCAAAGTCAAGGTGTCTTGGGTGTACTCTTAGGGAAACAGGCACGAATGAGGCAGTGTTTTGATACCTGGACAGCTATTTAGTTGTATTGTACTTTGAACAGAGAAGATGGGTAAGATAAAGGATTGGTGAATCATGAAAACCATCCCCCAAAAGAGATAAGAACATCGATAATATTTGGTTTCCAAGCACTTCACTAAGGAGAGGGTGCTTAAGGAGAGGGTGTCTTGGCCAAACATCAGCCTTTTTTTTTTGGAGACAGGGTCTTGCTGTAGCCCCAGCTGGCCTGGAATGTACTATGTAGACCAGGCTGGCCTTGAACTCACAGACATCTGTCTGCCTCTGCCTCCTAAGTGCTGGGATTAAAGGTGTGCGCCACCATGCCCGGCTATTATTTTTATTTTATGTGTCTGAGTGTATTGCCTACATGTGTGTGAGTGTACCCATCTTGTACATTGCCCACCAAGGTCAGAAGAGGGTATAGGATTCCCCTGGAATTGGCATTACAGACAGTTGTTATCTGCCATATGGGTGCTGGAAATCAAACCTAGGTCCTCTGCAAGAGCAGCCAGTGCTCTTAACCACTGAATCATCTCTCCAGTCCCTTGGTCAAATATTCTTGTCAGTTAGAATTTCCTTGGCAAATTCAGCCCAGAATATGAATAAGTATACAGCAGCCTTAACTTTGAGACACTTCAATATCAACTCTCTTAGCAACCTTCACATAACTTCGTTTCTAAAATGTCTGGCCCGTAGAGATGTGTTGGTCCAGCTGATGGGAGCATTTGATTCTGCTGGACAGTTATACTTTTTGTTGCAGCTTTCAACTGATATTTTGTCTATATTCCATATTTCTGCATTAATTTCACTGACTTCAAGACTTGTTAATGAATCAGATGTCAACAGGTGCAACTCTTCTCTCATGTGCTTATTGCTGTGTACTCATGTGGACAGATAAAGATGCCATGGGAGGTTTAAGTTCAATGAGAACTGTGTCTACACTTTTATATTATCTGAATTAGGAAGTGTCAAAACAAGTTAAATAGAAGAAATAGAGAAATACCATACCTGGAATCTAGCTTCATGAGGATTGCTCTCTATAAGGTAGGTCAATTGTCTATACACCAGCAAATTAGATTTCTCATCCTGAGTGGAAGAGGACCAGGTTTTGCACACAAGGTGGACATAGTGTTGTTGGTGGCCATGAGAATGGGCCATTTGATCCCTGACTGTGGGGGATGCATTGCCAGATGGTCTCAGCTGCTGTAATGTATGTCTACTACCACACTACCAGCTCTGGACAAGGCCACATGTCCAAAGGCTACTCTTGGCTGAGTGGGCACAGCAGGGACACTGAGGCAGGTAGCATTCTCTGAATGTTTGCTTTATCAGAACTCTACACTGTAGCCTGTGCTTCCAGAGCCTTCCTGGCCTCTTCCTCACAGGGTCAGGCCTATGTCATGGCCTCAGCCCCCTGTTCCCATATTCCCTGATTTATTCTACTTTCCCTTTTGCAGTTCCCCCAGACAGATTGTTTTTGTGTCTAAACCCTTTCTTGGCCCTGCCTCATAGAGTACCTAAATTAGGACTCCAACCTTCCTCAGGAAATTCCTGCTTTGTTTCATGGATTGTTCTCGTTGAACACGGGTGAGTGGGCAGACAATCAGAATACTTTGTCTGAAAACTTCCGATAGAACCCAGCAACAATATTGTGGAGCAAAGCTGAGTGCAGAACAGAGTGGGTAGGCTTTGAGGTGATGCCGTAATTGCTCCGTGGTTTCCATTGGCTATTTCTGTTTTAATGGTTGAAACTGGGCTTGAAGATGGGCTGGACTTACCTTCGAGTTTTCTTTCCAGAAGGAAGGTGGCAACATCTGAACAGGCAGATGAGTCTTCAGGGTTCTAGGTGAAGGCATTTTGTTGGCCAGATCCAGACCTGGAAATAAGGCCAGAGGTTCAGCCAGGTTTCTCCTCAGCTACCTATATCCAGCGTTGTGTCAAACACTGAGAACTGTATTGGCTAATGATTGACTCCATGCCTGCAAAAAAGGTGTTACAGGACTATGTCTCCCTCCTGATGGAGCTGTTCTGTTCACTCTAGAGGAAAGATTTAACAGCTGCTGTGAACTACGTGGCAACACTGCTTTCTACTGTGATAGATTTTTAGCTGAAAAACTGATTCTTTAGTGAATAAATCACTTTTCCAATTAAGTTAATGTGAGAATCAGAACTGGAAATCAGTCAGTCTGTGGGTATGGAGAGACTTAAATGGTAAGTTCTGTGAAACACTGTAGAGAGAAACAAGGTAGGGAGGATTGAGGTAAGGCACAGACAAGTCCCTCACAGAAGGGCTTGCAAGTGAGGTCAAAGTGACAATCTTGAACAAAGTTTCTGATAGAGACTCAGATGCATGGAGAAAAAGGGTGGAGATTAGGCTGTGCCCTGCTGTAAGTTACTGCCTTGCTTTAAGTTGAGTAAAACAGTGACCTTCAGGATGTTCCCTGCCCTGGGTGACTCCATTTCACGAGCAACGTTCAGAGGCAGAATGACTCTGCACCTTGTTTGCAGACCTTGTAACTGTTCTGGCAGGAGCAATGAAGACATTCTGAAGAAAAATACTTGTAGGGCTGGAGAGATGGCTCAGCAGTTAGTTAAGAGCATTGGCTGCTCTTACAGAGGATCCGGGTTCGAATCCCAGAATCCACATGGCGGCTAACAAGTGTCTGTAACTCCAGTTCCAGGGGATCCAACACCCTCTTCTGACCTCTGTGGGCATTGCATGACACGGGTGCACTTACCTACATGCAGGGATTACACGCATACACATAAAATAAAAATAGCAAATAAAAAGACAAGTGTCTTTTTAAAAAAGAAAGACACTTGGATATCAGACTATTTGGCTATTAGATTATTAAAACAGTATACCCTAAGGAATTGAAATTTCCCCCAGGAGTTTATTGCTGAGGAAAAGAAAGGACTGAGGCTCTGGGTGCCAGCTAGAGGAGGACTGTTTCCTAGGAAGAGATTCACACAGTTCTGACAAAGTTGTCAGACCACTTTGCCTGGGAGACTGGAGCGCAGACAAGGATGGGTCAGTGTTTGTTGGATCACATCTTGACCAGGACTGATCCGATATGCATACCTTTTACCCTCTACTTAAACCTCTATCCCATGTCACGATTCTGAAGATGGCCTGTGATTGGGGAGGAGGGTAGACACTGGATCCGTTTATTTATTCTTCTTCCTAATGTATCCACATTGAATAAATCTCCTTTCTCAGTTTTTCAGAATTACCTGTCTCTTTAATGGGTTTATTGAGAATGGGTAGCTAAGCCTAGTTGTCTAGTCTGGCAGAGTCCAGGCTTTGACTCTTAACAACTCCAGTCTAGGCTCTGACTCTAACAGTTCCATCACTTCTTCAGCACCAACCATGTGCCATAGGCTGGTAAATAGCTTATTTATGCAAGTGTAAAGATCCAGCCTCTGCAGCTCAGTCCTGCAGCTTGCTCTGTGTGCCTCCACCAACTCTCCCTGAGGTTGTTAATATGGTATCAAAGCGCCTGTGGCGATTCTCCTTGTATCTTTACCAGTTCTCTGTCTCTGCCTCTGGTAAGGCCTCTTTGAACTCTGAAGGCTTCTTGTAGCCATTCTCTCTCTCTCTCTCTCTCTCTCTCTCTCTCTCTCTCTCTCTCTCATACACACACACATGTATATGTGTGTGTGTTTATATCCTATGTATACATACATGTGCTATTATACACATACACTGTATAAAGTGTGATCTGAGAATTGATGTTAGTAATTAATATTGGAACCAAAGAACCTATGATTGCCAGTGGCAGCTATCAAGGGCAATTGAGATTACTTGGTCAATTGCAGTCAATTGGATGTAGCTTGTGAATTTATTATTATTCAATATATCCTGACATTATGGAAATGTCTTTGTCTCTAAAATTGTGTGCTTATGACATGGAAGTTTCTCTTCAGAGACACAGCAGTGAAAGGAATGGGGAAGAGTTTGGAGACAAGTTAAAATCCTTCATAAATGAAGGAAGATCGAAGCAAGTCAAGTCCTCCTCCCTCATCACCACTGCCGTCCCTCAGCTAGCTATGTAGGAGGGCAGCAGTGGCAGAAGGGTTCTTTCAAACTAAGCACAACACCATGAAATAAACACATAGAAAAAGAGCCCACCTCATTAGAACCAAACTGCTATGAAAGTCAGAAAAAGCAAATCAAACCTTTCAATCTCCCCTAGCCAAATACAAAGCTGAAGACCTAGAGCATAGCACTTCAAATAATTCTATATTCTGAATTAAACATCTGGGAATTCAAAAAAAGGCATAAATCAGGAATACAAAAACAAAGAGTAGAAGTGGAAAAAACCCTAAGAAATAAAAAGATTTTGACTGAATTCAAGGAAGAGAAGAAAAAAAACTTAAGGAATAAAGATTAAATTATGAGATGGGCAGGGGAACAGGTTTCCATGGAAATGCAATGAAGTCACAGGAGGAAAGCAGGAAAACCACGATGGTGATGATGGTGTGAAGGGAGAAGGAAACAGCTGACCGAGGAGTGGTGAGGAGGTGCAAACCACGACCCTGAAAATGTCAGGAAGGTGGCCTAGCACTGATATGTCAGGCTATGATCTGACAAACTGCAAAAAATGACACCTTAACTATGGGCCACCAGGAAAAGTCGATTTGTAATGATTAATTCTGAAGCATAGCAAACATATTTTAAGATAAAGTCCTCAGGGATTCCTGACAAAAATGAAAGAATTAATCCATAAAGCCAAGAGGATAAAAGGGCCATCAAATTTCTTTTTTAAAAAAGTGGTGGGGCCTAAAGAGATGGCTCAGCTGTTGAAAGCACTGACTCCTGTCACAGAAACCTGGGTTCAAATTCCAGTACCCACATGGTGGCTAACAACCATCCACAATTTGAGTTCCAGGGGGATACAATATTCTCTTCTGACCTCCGTGGGCATCATGACATGAATGTACCTACACACATGCAAGCAATACATTAATCATATAAAATAAAAATCATAAATAAAATGTTTTAAAAAGTGGCATAAAGGGCAAGGAAAAAGTGGAATAAAACTTTAAAGAAGTTTTTGGAAAAGAATGGGGTGTTAGTGAGTGATATTGTACATAGGGAAACTATATTCCAGGTATCAAGGCTATAGAAAGGTTTGAAATGTGCAGAAACTCAGAAAATGGAACACAAATGGGTTCTTCCCGATCAATTGGCTAGATGGAAACAAACCCACAGAACAAAGCAGTAGAAACCATCAGAAGCACTGATGGGGAATAGCTCACACTGCGTGACATTTTAATATTAAAATTATTCTTATTTTTAGTTGACACACAATTGTGCATGTTTATGTGGTGCAGTGTGATAATTCCACAGGGGTACAGGACCATGAGAATCTTAATTTTCTTAAACACTGATAGTTTATCTGTGTTAGGAGCTTTGTACATCTTTCCTTTCGTTCATTGTAAGGCACGTAAAGAAACCACTGTGTGCTCCCACCACCTGCTGTGCTTCATGACACTAGAACTCCACCTTCCTATCTAGCTAGATTTTGGTACTTGGTATCCAGCCTTTCCTAGCTTTGTGTGATTCCTATTCTGCTCTATTTCTGCAAAAGTAAGATTTTAGCTTCCACATATGAGCAAGAATGTGCAATATTTGTCTTTCTGTGCCTGATTTATCTCAACACAACATCCTTCAGTTCTGTCCATGATGCTATAAATGCAGAATTCCCTCTTTTTGCGGTGAAGTAATATTTCCTCATGTAAAAAACCCATGGTCCTTGATCACTATCTGCTATGCCTTCTACTCCTGCTTAATCACCTTTCTGTCCCTCTAACAAATACCTCAATATACAGAAAGAAAAGGTCAATTTTGGCTAAGAGCTTTGGAGCTTACAGTTCACAGTTAATGGCCTTGTTGCTTTGGGCCTGTGGTGAGGCAGTACGTTAAGGCACAGTGTGTGGTAGAGCAAAACCATTCCCCTCATGGTGGTACACAAAACAGCCAGAGGCTGAGGTTCTATCCCCTATAAAACAAGATCCTCAGTGACCTCAATGCATCTCCCTTAGGCCCCACCACTTAAAGGTCCACTGCTGCTCCCTAGCACCTCCCTGGGAATCAGGTGTTTACTGGGCAGATTTAGGGGCACTTATGGTCCAGAGTATAGTCCATGCTTTCACTGAGTTATTATGCATGTGTGGTCACTCAACTGCTCACACACCACGGACTGTGTGTCTTAGGCTACCAAGTCATGTATTTTGGGAAAGGAACTATGTTACGTTGCTTTTTAACTCCTTTGTGGTTCCATTCAGAAGTGTTTTCTAGAAGGTAGATTGTGGAAATGATTTTCTTCTAGGGTGAAAACTGACCCTGCACAGAAGTCACAGCCCCTTGAATCCCAGTTGGAGAAACTTACCTGAGTTGAGGGGTGGAGGCAAAGTCCATTCGATGAAAGGGTGCCGGTCAAAGGTGTTGGCACGCTGGCATTTTTGCACATCCCCATCATGTTGGATCATGTCCACAATCTCTTGTGTCCAGGTGGTGCCTAGAAGCAACAGTGGTTGTCATATCCATGCACTCATGGCACAATTCTGCTCTGTTTCTTTGATCCTGCATATACTTGGCTACATTCATATTTACTGGGTTTGGGGTAGGACCAGCTCACTTTCTGTGTTTGTTGTTACCATCTGCTTAAAGTGTATGTTTCCTTGTGGTACCTCTATCTTCTTTCTCCCTAGCATGCAGCAAAGTACTTTGCCCCTCACAGATGGAGACAGACTGAATAAATGTTGAGTCAGGTTAATATGGGTAGATACAAAGATGAGCTAGTCAATGCACCTGCTCCTACGAGCTGACGGTCCTTCTGGAGGATACACAAAAGAAACCTCTCCTTGCCTAGCTACCATTCGTTCTTTCAAATGAGGAGATCCTCAAATTTTAGTTGGGAAATTAGCTACTTGTGCCAAAAACTACATTTTTTAGTCTTTCTTATACCAGATGCAGATGTTACTTTTGGTGCATCTCTGCATTGCAGATAAACCTGATGCAAACTCATACATGAGGTTATTCACAGCCCAAAGACTGAGGTGGTGATGAGGTGCTGGGGGAGTGTGATGGTTTGAATGAGTATCCCCCATAGGCTGCAAGTATTTGAACACTTGATCTATAGTTCATGACCCTTCTGGAGAGGGTCATGGAACCTTTAGGAGGTGTGACCATGCTGGAAGAAGCACATCACTGGGGCAGGCTTTGAGAGTTCTTAAGCCTTGCTGGATTTCTAGTTTCCTGCTTGAAGATGTGAGCACTCAGCTTTATGCTCTGGCAACTTTTGTGGCCATACCTTCCTGCCATGATGGACTCTTATCCCTTTGGAATCCTAAGCCAAATAAACTCTTTCTTCTATAAATTGGCTTGGTCATGGTGTTTTATCACAACAACAGAAAAGTAACCAATATAGGAAGTGTGATCAGTTTACTTTTGAGAGGTCAAAGAGGCTCAGTTGAGTAGACAGAGTCACTACAGCTTTGGCATGAAGAGCGGAGGTAAGAATAGCATGGCACATCCATTAAGGAGGCAGGCTTGGCTGGAGGGGGCCAGGGCAGGTGCGTTCCGTGCCAGGGAATATTGGTAGGCCTTATGGGAGGGTGAGAGGTACCGAGAGAGGTAGGGCAATAAATTCAGAGAGGGGGTTGGGGACCGTTGCATGGAGGGCTGTGCATTGACTGCGTGATTTCCAAGGGGCCTGGCAGGAACAAAATTTCTGCTCTAAGGCAAAGTGTAGGTTTATGTTCAGACCTGGGCAAACTGTACATCCAATGCAAACCAGACTGGAAATGTACTATCTATTGGAACTAGAAGCTGCCCTTGGAAACTCCTAAGCTATTTGTTGGTCCAGTGAACACTGAGCAACAGAGGCAGAGATGCCAATCAATGTGAAGGTCAGTGCCCTGGGACAGAAACTGTTCCAAAACCCTTGGCCTGAAATCTTGGCAGATCTTGATGTTGAATGTCCCTCTTGTTGAGTCAAATGGCCAAACTCTTGGCTGGTTACATTTCTTTACCCAGCTCCATCACACCACGTGCATGCTGAAAACAGATGGGAGATGGGAGACACCAGCACTCATTCATCACTGTCTTCTGATGGGGATGCTCATTAGTTCTCCACCCTGCACAAACCTGTGCTACCCTTTGTCTTTATGAGTCTTTTCCTAAAGACTCCTCTTCATTTCCTAGGATTGTAGTAACCAGCATCGTTTTCTCCATCTCTCCCTCCATGGGGGTGGGAACTGGCTGAGCACTGCTTCTTGGCGGCAAGCACTCAGGCCTGTGCTACTCTGGGCTACTAGGAAGAGCATTTTAGAACTAGGAACCACTGCCTAAAAAGGTTAATAGAATAGGCGAGCCTAGCTGGCAGGATTTGCCCCAAAGATTTCCATCCTATTTCTGAGTTTGTGCTTTTAGAACACTGTAATTTCACTTAGTCCTTTGGGGTTTGTGATGGTTGGGCCATCTTTCTCTTTCTACCAGGCAATTAAAGGAGATCCTGAAGGCTGGGGCAGTGATGCTCATGAGCTGGACTTGCTTACTCCTGGAATCTGTCCTGCTGAAGCCCTACACGCCTTTCTAATCAGAAGGCTCACTCCAGGAAGTACTGCTGTGTGCAAGTGCCTTAGCCTACCATCCTTCCTCTTACTCACCTGCCTTTGCATAGGTTGCAATGAGGAGGTCGTCTGGTTTTGCTTGGAAATTCCAGATTTTGTCCCAATTATCACTAATCATTTTGGACATCAGGATCCCATTCACTTCTTTGGTTTCTGGCTGCAGGTGCTTTTCATCCAGATGGAGGTCTTTCATTTTCTCCAAAGACATCTTGGAATGGGGACTTGACAGGTGCTAAAAAGAAGGTGGACTCCCGTTACTTCCAACATTTAGACAGGCATGCCCTTGAACAGTCATTCCTGTAAATGGTCAGAAGAGCTACATGGTGTGAATCTGTTCCCATGATCAGTGTTTACTTAGTAGGGAAATAAAAACTGTGGGCACTTGGAGAATTTTAAATAGCTTGGTCTAAAAAACAAACATCTATGAAGGAGAGAATTGCCAGGGGAGAGGATAGACAATAACTCTGGAGGCTCTCTCACTTTGTGTTGGCTCTTTGGAGCTAGCCTGTCTGAGGCCCAAGGAAGGCAGAGACCTCAGCTTGTGCTGTAGATCATGCCTATGGTGAGGTTTGAACAGCACTAGTGGAGGTGGACTGACTAAACTACTTATGACCTAATCAATAAAACGCTTAGAGAAATGACTTCACGGCACTCTTGGTACGGTCCTTCTCTATGGGATAGTGGTCATCAAAAGGTTTCAACATGGCAGTGTGGCTGACAGAAATTTGTCTGGAAGTCTACAATGAGAGGAGGTACAGTAGCTAGCAGAAGAGACCCCAGCACCCACAGGGCCACCTCATCTTGCCTGGGGAGCAATCCTGATGACTTGGGATATGGTAGCTGTTTCCATGACACATAACTTTCAGTTTCTTAAAATACCAAAATTAAATTGATTATCAAGCTGGGTGTGGTAGTATATATCTGTAGTCCTGGCACTTGGAATGCCAAAGCAGGATAATTTTGAGTTTGAGACCAACTTGAGTTATAGAGTTTCTCTCTCTCTCTCTCTCTCTCTCTCTCTCTCTCTCTCTCACATGCATAAATTCACATACACAGAGGAGAAATTTCCATTTGTGTATAACGTGTGTATAGAATGTCAAGCCATAGCATTTCTATTTTTAAGTTTAAGAATAATTTTTGCATTTTTAGTAAGTGCTTATTTTTATTCTTTAAATTAAAAAAATATGTTTTTCTGTGTATGAGTATTTTTCCTGCTTTTAAGTGTAAGTCCACTCCATTTATAAGAGACATGTGTTCTCTGAAATGTCTGCTCCCATTCACAGAATCCAAAGTGATCTGCTAGCCCAGGTATCCCTGCATGCAACAGGCTTCACCTGGGAGTTCTGGGATCGTGGGAGGGCTGGTGCCCAGGCCCCAGGCCAGGAGGTGGGTTCTTCCCAGTGCTTCCTCCTTCAGTAAGTTCATTTGAACAGAGCAGGCTCATTTTCACCTGCCTTCTGTTTGTGGCCTCCAGACTAGAAAGGATTCTGAAATCAATAAAGCACATGTGACCACTGTCTTTTGAGGACCCTGTTTTCCCCTTCTATTCTGCGGTGAAAAAGAGTTTATGCTGACTGACATTGTGTTGAACTTTACAGGAATTCATGTCGCCAAGATCAGAAGAGGGCATAGATGGGTTGGGGGAACTGCAGGTGAGTCCCAAAGCAGCCTGAGGTAAGACAGTGAGTTTCAAAAATTTGCTTTTGTGTCAAAGACTAAATGTGTTGCATCAGAATATTATCTGTGCTAAAACAAAACGATCTATCAGCAATGAAAAGACATGGGGGAAACTTCAATGCATATTATTAAGTGCAAGAAAGTAGTCTGAAAAGACAACATACACATGATTCCAACTATGTACCTTCTCAAAAAGGTACTGGAAGGGAGGGATGAATAGGGAGAGCATGGAAGAGTTTAGGGCATACAATGTAATATTCGCCTTCCACTTGAATATGACATTGTGGTAGTGAATGCCCATCATTCTACAAGCTCCACAGGATGTGCTGTGTGAAGAGTTGAGGAGTCAGAATGCAAGAGTCCTAATTCACTGACTCCATTTTGGCTAGCTGTTTCAGGCAAACCTGGACAAGCCCAGGCATGTTGTAAATTTCCAGTTGCCCACCCCCCCGGAAAGCTATAGGTTAAGCAAGCCCGGGCATGCAAAAGCCTTGTAAGGTAAAAACAAAAACTTCTGGCCCTACAGATAACAGTTGGCACATTCCAGTGCTCTGAAGATATCCCCGGCCAATAAGGATCTTCCCCATACTCAGGACATCCAATCATTTTAGAGGATGCTTGGCGCACATGGGCTTCTATGAAACTTCCCTATAAAGCATTCTGCCTGCTCGTGTTCAGGGCTGGATGCCATCTTTGGCTTGTGGAGTCCATCCTTGGCTAGCCGCCAGTTTGGTTGCCTTATACTTTAAATTTCTGAATAAAATTTTTATTCAGTTTTTTTTTTTTTTTGGTGTCTGTGGGAATTATCCCAACTCTCAAACCCTAACATTTTGGGGGCTTGTCTGGGATTGGGAATGGAGCATCCAGACTCATGGGAGCATGCCACCAGAGTCGGCCTTGGTAAGTTCTGCCTGCTTTTGCCTTCTTTCTCTTTCTCTCTTTCTTGCTTTTCAGTAGTCCGGACATCCTGGGGCTCAATGGAGATCAGGAAGATGTGCTATTGATCCCAGAGCCAGAGGAGAATGGGGGACGCCCCAACTCCTCCTCTGATAGGGGGTCATGCTCCAGCCTGATGTGGAATCCAGGCGGGACTGGCCCATAGTCTCGGCCCAGGCCAGACACACGATTTTGGTCAAGTCTGATGTAGAATCCAGGCTGGCCAAATCTTTTTGGAAAAGGTGACAGGGGCAGCTTTCTTGGCTCACTTTGCATGCTGCGAGATTTTCATTCCCCCCTCTAGGGAGCTGCCATCTCATACTGTTCTCACCCTTTGTTTGGAGCTCCACCTTGTCCATTGACTTTCCATCCTATTTCTTCTCATTCTCATTCTTCTCCTTATATTCCTTTTTCTTGAAGCTTATCCCACGATGGGCCAGAAAGTCTCATCATCATCAGCTCTCCTTGATCTAATTCTTAGTCATTTTCAGGATTATAAACGGGTGGCCTCAACCATGTCTGGACTCTGTGTCGAGCCGACCCATCTCTGGACCCTCTGCACCATCAAATGGCCCTCCTTTGGCATCAAATGGCCATCAGAAGGGTCTTTTAACTTGTCTCTTATTTACAGGGTCAAGGAGTTGTCTTTGGGGAGCCAGGGAACCCTGACCAGATCCCCTACATCCTAGGTTGGTGATATCTGGTTGCCGCCACCCCCACCCCCCGATTGGCTGCACCCCTTACTGCTGCCCCTGCCACCAGGGCTGAAAGGGGCCCAGGATAGACCTAGGGAGCATAGGTCTCAGGCTTCTTCCTCTTCTGGCTCCTCCAGGTCTCCATCCCTGGTCCCCATGACCGAGCCCTTACACGCCTGCTCACAGGGGGAGGGGAGGGTGGTCCAAGCTCTTCTTCTAAGAGAGATTGGGAGAGGATGGTATAGCCCCAGTAGTCTATTTCCCTTTTTCTACTAGTGATCTGTATAATTGGAAATTGCAGACTCCCTCCTTTACAGAGAAACCCCAAGCACTAGTTTCCCTCCTAGAAACAGTTCTTTTTACCCATCAACCCAGTTGGGATGATTGCCAAAACTACTAAATATCCTGTTCACCACTGAGGAACGGAAACACATCCTTCAGGAATGCAGGTGCACAGTCCCTGGGAACAATGGGCAACTGACTGAAAGACTTGATTGCAGCTGCCTTTCCCCTCACACATCCCATAGATGGACATGACTATAACACTCCAGAAGGTAGGGAGCGCCTAAAGGTCTGTCTCCAGAATCTTATGGGAGGTCTCTGGGTGGCTACTAAGCATCCTACAAATTTGTCTAAAGTTAGTCAGGTAGTGCAGGAAAGAGATGAGTCCCCTGGGTTATACCTGGAGCACCTCCTTGAGGCTTTCAGGACCTACACTCCCATTAACACAGGCTCCAGAAAACCAGATGGCTGTCACCAGCTAGAAAGAAAACCATCATGGGGATCCCAACCCCCAAAACCCACAGACAATTACAGGAATTCCTGGGGTCAGTAGGCTTCTGCCAACTCTGGATACCTGGGTTCGCTGAGTTGGCGAAACCCTTGTATGAAGCCACTCAAGGGAATGAGTCCTCTTTCCACTGGACTGAAACTCAAGAAGAGGCCTTTCAAAATATTAAAAAAAAAAGGCTTATTCCAAACTCCAGCCTTGGCCCTGCCAAACATCCACAAGCCCTATCAACTCTTTGTTGATGAGAGGGCTGGAATAGTGAAAGGAGTCCTGACCCAGCTACTTGGACCTTGGAGGAGGCCTATGGCCTACCTGTCCAAAAAGCTTGACCCTGTAGCCTCAGGATGGCCGGGCTGCCTCAGAATCATCATAGCTACAGCTTTGTTGGTTAAGGATGCCAATAAGCTGACCTTGGGACAGCCCCTGATGATCACCACCCCTCACTCAATTGAGGGTGTCCTTAAAAATCCCCTGATCAATGGATGACAAATGCTCGGCTCACACATTATCAGGCCTTGCTCCTTAACTCCCCCCCCGCCCCGCATCTAGTTCCTCTCTAGCACCACTCTCAATCCCGCTACTCTGCTGCCAGAATCGGACCTTGAGGTCTTGCACAATTGCCTGGAGGTACTCTGCAGCCTGCTTGGGACTCGGGAAGACCTGATGGACATCCCATGGTCCCACCTGGACTTAATTTTGTTCACGGATGGTAGCAGCTTCATCAGAGAAGGAACCAGGTATGCAGGGGCGGTGGTAGTCAGCCCATCACAAACAATCTGGGCCTCCTCTCTGCCATTCGGGACCTCCGCCCAAAAGGCTGAAATAATTGCCCTGACTCAGGCCCTGAAGCTGAGTAAAGACCAGACTGTTAACATTTTTCATGGATAGCCATTACATTTTCGCTACGGCTCATGTCCATGGGGCCATATACAAGGAAAGGGGCCTCCTGACAGCAGAGGGAAAGACTGTCAAAAACAAATAAGAAATCTTAGATCTCCTGCAGGCCATCTGGCTACCAAATAGACTGGTTATCATCCATTGTCCAGGACACCAACAAGGAGATTCTCTAGAGGCACAGGGAAATAGGAGAGTGGACCTCGTGGCTAGAGAAGTGGTTCTAATGGCCCCTAACCT